GATCCTATTTTTTGTCCTTACTGCCGGGGTTGGCCGCCGCAGGGAATAAAAAAGAGTAGGGCGGTGGCCCCGGACGAGAGATACATGACGACGTGTCGAATTATCCAAGTTGCAGCGGCTGCCCCGGACGAGAGATACATGACGACGTGTCGAATTATCCAAGTTGCGGCGGTCCGCCCCGAACGAGAGATACATGACAACGAATCGATGTATCCACGCTGCGGCGACGGCCCCGTACGAGAGATATATGACGACGAATCGAGGTATCCACGCTGCGGCGGCGCACCCTAAACATGTCGCTTTCGTTTTCCAGGGGACAACGCAAATGTGCTCGATTGTTCGAAGATCGAACTTAACACCTTACGTGAAAATGGGTCGCGCGACCACATTTTTTTTAGCTCAGTGGCAAAACAAGCTCACAATTTCATCCGGGGTGCGGGTTCGAGCCCCGAAGAAGCCTAAGTTTTTTTCCTTTTTTTTTTGGAATTCTTGTTTCTTATTGCTTTTTAAACTTCTGGTTTGCAGGACGGTGTGCGAGTTCTGCAATCGCACTGATTCCATCAGTTTCGTGGTGTGTGCGGCTGCGGCTGCGGTGGTGGCCGCGTGAGAGTGAGTGAGAGAGCGCCATGCACCGCCCGCACACACACTCGTCTTTCACCCACTCTCTGTGTGTGTCCCCTTGCATGGACTCTCGCCCTCACCTCATCCCACGAAGCACACACATAATGTGCCCATTGTATATATTGCATGCACACCCATGCAGGCCCGTTGGTGCTCTCTTTTGCACGACACGCACCGCTGCCGTCCTGCCTGACTGCATGGGCGGAGCACCGTAACTGTTTCTGTTTTGTTTTTATTGCATTGAGTGGGCAACCTCTCTCTCTCTCCCTGTGTGTGTGTTTTGCTTTACGGGAGCAATGAGAGTGTGTGCGCTGGTCGTCCCACGCTTCGGCTTTTTGTTTTGTTTTTCATTGTTTTGTGGTTGAGAGCACCCATTCCGCGGGCTGCGTGTGTGTGTTTGTGTGTGATGATATGAGTAATTTGTGCGTGTGTGCTATCTGCCTCTCTCTGCCGTTGCTTTCTTCTGACTCTCTTGTGGCGCACAGCTGCTCTGCAATTATAGGCGCTGCCAAACACACAAGCACATGCACACACATGCCGTGTTTAAAACGCTGAGAATGCACGCACGCACAGGATTGTGGCTGCGGAGGCCCTCGCGAGGGGCGAAGAAGCCTGCGTTTTGTTTTTTTGACATGTTGCTCGGTGTGTGCTGACGCGTGACGAATAACAACACGCCCCAATAAGCAGAAAAGAAGTAAAACAAAATGGCACTGAGCGGCACACCGGTAAGCCAAAAATACGCAATCACCAATAAAAAAGCCGGCGATCACCCAGCAGGCACATCAAGCCTCCTAAAACCAACCTGGAATAGACAAAAAAAAGGGGGCAATCATAGAAAACAAAGATCCGCCCCCCCAAACAGGAAAAGCATTAAAAAAACGCGATCCTATTTTTTGTCCTTACTGCCGGGGTTGGCCGCCGCAGGGAATAAAAAAGAGTAGGGCGGTGGCCCCGGACGAGAGATACATGACGACGTGTCGAATTATCCAAGTTGCGGCGGTCCGCCCCGAACGAGAGATATATGACGACGAATCGAATTATCCACGCTGCGGCGGCGCACCCTAAACATGTCGCTTTCGTTTTCCAGGGGACAACGCAAATGTGCTCGATTGTTCGAAGATCGAACTTAACACCTTACGTGAAAATGGGTCGCGCGACCACATTTTTTTTAGCTCAGTGGCAAAACAAGCTCACAATTTCATCCGGGGTGCGGGTTCGAGCCCCGAAGAAGCCTAAGTTTTTTTCCTTTTTTTTTTGGAATTCTTGTTTCTTATTGCTTTTTAAACTTCTGGTTTGCAGGACGGTGTGCGAGTTCTGCAATCGCACTGATTCCATCAGTTTCGTGGTGTGTGCGGCTGCGGCTGCGGTGGTGGCCGCGTGAGAGTGAGTGAGAGAGCGCCATGCACCGCCCGCACACACACTCGTCTTTCACCCACTCTCTGTGTGTGTCCCCTTGCATGGACTCTCGCCCTCACCTCATCCCACGAAGCACACACATAATGTGCCCATTGTATATATTGCATGCACACCCATGCAGGCCCGTTGGTGCTCTCTTTTGCACGACACGCACCGCTGCCGTCCTGCCTGACTGCATGGGCGGAGCACCGTAACTGTTTCTGTTTTGTTTTTATTGCATTGAGTGGGCAACCTCTCTCTCTCTCCCTGTGTGTGTGTTTTGCTTTACGGGAGCAATGAGAGTGTGTGCGCTGGTCGTCCCACGCCTCGGCTTTTTGTTTTGTTTTTCATTGTTTTGTGGTTGAGAGCACCCATTCCGCGGGCTGCGTGTGTGTGTTTGTGTGTGATGATATGAGTAATTTGTGCGTGTGTGCTATCTGCCTCTCTCTGCCGTTGCTTTCTTCTGACTCTCTTGTGGCGCACAGCTGCTCTGCAATTATAGGCGCTGCCAAACACACAAGCACATGCACACACATGCCGTGTTTAAAACGCTGAGAATGCACGCACGCACAGGATTGTGGCTGCGGAGGCCCTCGCGAGGGGCGAAGAAGCCTGCGTTTTGTTTTTTTGACATGTTGCTCGGTGTGTGTTGACGCGTGACGAATAACAACACGCCCCAATAAGCAGAAAAGAAGTAAAACAAAATGGCACTGAGCGGCACACCGGTAAGCCAAAAATACGCAATCACCAATAAAAAAGCCGGCGATCACCCAGCAGGCACATCAAGCCTCCTAAAACCAACCTGGAATAGACAAAAAAAAGGGGGCAATCATAGAAAACAAAGATCCGCCCCCCCAAACAGGAAAAGCATTAAAAAAACGCGATCCTATTTTTTGTCCTTACTGCCGGGGTTGGCCGCCGCAAGGAATAAAAAAGAGTAGGGCGGTGGCCCCGGACGAGAGATACATGACGACGTGTCGAATTATCCAAGTTGCGGCGGTCCGCCCCGAACGAGAGATATATGACGACGAATCGAGGTATCCACGCTGCGGCGGCGCACCCTAAACATGTCGCTTTCGTTTTCCAGGGGACAACGCAAATGTGCTCGATTGTTCGAAGATCGAAATTAACACCTTACGTGAAAATGGGTCGCGCGACCACATTTTTTTTAGCTCAGTGGCAAACAAGCCCACAATGTCATCCGGGGCGCGGGTTCGAGCCCCGAAGAAGCCTAAGTTTTTTTCTTTTTTTTTTTTTTGGAATTCTTGTTTCTTATTGCTTTTTAAACTTCTGGTTTGCAGGACGGTGTGCGAGTTCTGCAATCGCACTGATTCCATCAGTTTCGTGGTGTGTGCGGCTGCGGCTGCGGTGGTGGCCGCGTGAGAGTGAGTGAGAGAGCGCCATGCACCGCCCGCACACACACTCGTCCTTCACCCACTCTCTGTGTGTGTCCCCTTGCATGGACTCTCGCCCTCACCTCATCCCACGAAGCACACACATAATGTGCCCATTGTATATATTGCATGCACACCCATGCAGGCCCGTTGGTGCTCTCTTTTGCACCACACGCACCGCTGCCGTCCCGCCTGGCTGCATGGGCGGAGCACCGTAACTGTTTCTGTTTTGTTTTTATTGCATTGAGTGGGCGACCTCTCTCTCTCTCTCCCTGTGTGTGTGTGTTCTGCTTTACGGGAGCAATGAGAGTGTGTGCGCTGGTCGTCCCACGCTTTTTTTTGTTTTATTAGGATATTGTGAAGAGAATGATCGCGGGAGAGCTGGCTAACTTTATTAATAAATATTTATCCTGATAAAACGAATGCACTTCTTTATGATACTTTTCCTATCTTATGGACGTGGGAAGAACACGGCTTTAAGGGGCAAGGAAGTGATAGCAGCTGGATATTTTTTTTTATTTTTTTTATTCGCAGATATAGCGAGGTTGTTTTAAGGAAATGGATTTGGTTCATTTTACACGGCCTCCGAGCGGAGCGATATTGGCGCCCGTCTTTCGTACTTGGTATGCTAACATGGCACCAACGAGGTGCGGATAAGGTTCATTGATGGAAACGGGCCGTCGCTGCGGCAATAACAGGCTTACACTTGATTTCGGGATCTACCACCAAACCCGAGGAGGATTCGAGCGTTACAGGACACATGTTGCGAATCCCCGGGCGCCTCAAGTAGCAAATTGTGGGACTCAGTTGATCCCGCCCATCGTGTGTGTGCGGCCCGGGAGTTGGGGATCCAACAACGGCTCACCATTGCTGAAAAGGAGCGCTTGAGCGCGGGCCACACCCACGCCACTGCTGACGTGCAGAATCGAGGCGCTCAGCTTAACTCGCAGGTGGAAGAGGCGCATAACAAACTATCGGTGCGCGAATCTAACATTGCGTCCGCCGGCGGCCTTCATGCAGAACGAGAATACGCGGTCGCCGGACGCGAACAGCAGTTGGAGGCGACCCGTGCCAAACTCCACGAACGAGAGACACGCGTTATCGCAAGAGAGGCGCAGCGATCCGCGTGGGAGGCGGAGACGGCGGGCAGGGAAGAAGCCCCGCCACTCGGAGACGCCCGACAGATGGACCCGTCACGCGGCAAAACACGGTCGAAGATGGCGTTACCGCACAACCGCATCACACGCATCGCTTGATGGCGGGCTGTGCGCCGTCACGCACGGCCCAACGGAGCCAGGCCGAGAAAAGACGGCCACAGACGTCTCAGGGCAATTTTGGTGGCCACATTTCCATCCCTCGTTGCCTTTGCCTTCCCGCACATCCCTCTTGGAAGCAAATTCCGCTACAGAAAAGGAGGAACCACATTTCTGTGCATTTGACGTCACCACTTGGCCCCCGCGTGTTTGGAATGAGGGCGTCTCGAAACTTTTTTGACACCCTGGACGCATACGATTATTGGTAACAGGCGGAGGACCAGACTAAACTTTCCTTCGACAGTTTGGTCGCGTGGACGGGAGTGATGGAAGCTGAGCGGGGCCTCTCCTATCATGAAATTGGGCAGGATTTTACTGCAGGAATTCCGGATGCAGCTCATGATGGCGTCCGAACCCGACATCCCGTACCCCAAACTGCGCGCCCGTCTTCATACCGCCGTTCATGAGGCTGACGTCTTTGCGAGGGCGACCCAGCCTTTCATGGAACGGCGAGGTGCGCAACGATTGTCGCGATGTCGATTGTGTGGCGTTTATGGACACGACGCGTCTGCAAGCAACGTCCGGGGCGCAACCAGAGGAATTACTCACAGCGCAGACGGCCGTAAAAAAAAGGCAACGGAGCGTATCCGCCAACGACGCTCGACCGTGGTACGACGAATCACCGACATCCCCGCTTTGGGCCAGCTACATGAGGAAGGCGAACGAGGTGGCGCGAGAACTGTGTGCGCCGTCAAAGCGGGAGCAGAGAATGTCCCTAGCGGGGCAATTTACAGCCTTTTGCTGCACGCACGAACTGCCGATGAACGAGGAGAGCTGCGCGGCCTTTTGATTGCAATATTAGATGTGGCGCCATGGACTCGACCGCAGTACGCCAGGACGCTGCGGTCCATGTTTGAAATGTATCTAACCCCGCTGGGCATGATGATTCTGGGGTTACAAAAAGTTGCGGCGCAATGGGAGACGAAACAGGCGCGCCCCTTGACAGAGGAAGAGATGAATCAATTTATCCGCAGCCGGACCGATTGGAGGGAACGTGTTGTCTTACGACTTGCGTGGATAACGGCGAGTCGTTGGTCCGAGATTGCGGCCTTAACCCCAAAAATTCCACCCTGGAGCCGGACGGGACCTTAATTTTGAATTGGTGCGTGGCGCCGAAGACGGCGAAAGCGGATCCCCACCGAGCCTCGCGGTTCGTGAGGATGCGAGGGCAGGGCGCGTTCGACACTATGAATTTATGCAGGAAACTTCGACGCAACGAAGAGCTCACGAACCTGACGACTGCCCACTTGGAGCGAGCTCTGGCCTATTGGAATGCCGCGGCGCATTCCACAAAACGGGGTGCGTCGAGGCATGCCGCTCAAATCGTGGAGAAACACAATTTGGACCCACACGTGATCTCGCAGTTGGCGAGGCACGTCGACCCGTTCGAACTTCCCCAGAATACACTGAAATATTTGGGGAAACACACCACAGTGCTGACCCAGGTGTCGTCGCTGGTCACATTGATGTGAAGGAAGGAACTGCGGAAGGGCAGGAACCCTGGCTGAGAGCGGAGGAGCGTCTTTTCCATGATTTTTATCATCACGCTGCCACAATTAAGCGGCGCGCGACAAGGACGCGTCTGGCCATTCCACAAGATGAACACACTATCCCGTTACAGCAGGTTAACGTGCCCGTATTGAATACCAAAGTGGATCAATGGCCGGTTGAACCCGGCTACCTTGGAGAGGCTCATGCAAGTTTGGGGACTCGTCGGGCGGTCCCATTTCCCTCCGCCTTCCTCCGGTAAGGCGCGCGAAGGCTCACGGAGGATTCCAACCGCTGACGCGCGTTTGTTACGAAAGGCGGAAATTATCGAGAACGCTTTGTCCACAATAACAGGCGGATGGATAATACCTTTTTCGGTTGTGGAGGAAAAAACCACCGGTTTACGACGACGATGGATCGCGTGGCCACGCGACAAGAACAGAGACGACACTTATGAGGCGAATGTTCCTCTTTTACACATTTCCCATTATTTGTCACCTGTGATGGCTGAGGCCGCTTACTGCCTGGAATTAAAGGCATCCCCTTTTCATTTCTCTTTACCACGGGAGACTCGGCATCCCTTTCGATGCCGCGTGGAGGACGGCACGCTGGTGGAGCTTACACGGCTCCCAATGGGATACAAGGCCAGCCCAGAAATTCTCCAGATTATTGTTTCTTCGGCAATTGCGGGGTGACGACGGTGGTTCACTCCCTCTGGACTGCACCTCCATTGGTGCGCATCGGCGTTTGGATCGGTAATATACGCATTGCAGTGTCTAAAAGCGATGTGGCATTGTGGGAGGCCCAAGTGCTTCGTAATGCGGACGGCTTCACGCTACGATGGGAGAAGATCGCGAATCCGGCGGCACGCAGCACACCTTCCTGGGGGTGCATTTTGATCATGCTCACCGGGCGGTATCCCTGAGTGACAAGTTTGTCCGGTCTGTGCGCGCCATGCCGACGCTCAATTCTTTGACCATTTCGGAAATGGAGGTTGTGGCGTCACGCTTTTTATATGCGGCGTCCATTTTGGGCACGCGTTTATGCGACTGCCACTTTTTCATCAAGGCAGTTCGACGGCGATTATCCGCACTTAACCGGGGGATTGTGCTGGAGACATCCCCGGCGAACGTTCCGCCGGCAGCGGCTGGTTTGAGCGAGAGATTACGACAAATGATCGAGAATAATTGTAGACGGAACATCAAGCCCACGGAAAAGGCGTCAGCCGCCATCATCACGGATGCGTCGCTTCATGGATGGGGAGCCGTTTTTATTCCAAAATTCGGCGACGTTAAAATTGCCGGAGGGAAATGGGAGAAGAGGAAGCCTTTTCTTATCATGCAGGCCGAGGTGCGTGCGGTACGGTTGGCCTTATCGGCCTTTCCCGCCATATTGATACCCACCACTGGAGTTTTGGGTGGACAATACTTCGCTGCAAGGAGCGGCGAATAAAGGCAGCCCAAAATCACACGCGTTGACGTGGGAGCTGCAACGGATATATGAATTTTTGGGCTCTCGCGGAATACAGGCATCCTTTGCATACGTGCGATCCGCGGAAACCCCCGCAGACGGCATGCCACGCGGTCGCGTGTTTTACGCTTCAGCACTTGGCAAAAGGGAGCGGCGGGGTGTTGTGGCTGGAGGACCCCAAAGTCTGCCAATTCGTAAGTAATAAATATTTCAGATCCTATCCGAGTTCAAAAGGCCACGTGAGCGGTCAATAGAATATATATATATATATATATATATATATTATCAGAAGAAAATATTGAGGCAATTAACTGCCTCTTCGATACCCTCCTTTTTCCCTTTCTTTTTTGCTTTCTTGAGATAATTTCAGGATCCGGCCAGTGGCCCAGAATATTATTCGCTTTGTACCTTTTTACGAGATTACAATTTTGAATCATGGACGGACGGTTCTCCATCTCTCGCTGGACTCGCATCCGGGTCCGCTGCACTATTATACGGCCCCACAAAAAGAAATGATCTCCCTGTGGAGGTCCATCGTGCAGCAGCTGGCAGGCTCGCATGCTCGTAGAGAGCGGAGTGCCTTGCCACTGAAAATGGCTTTAGACACTTCATGCCTCCTCGTCTGGGAAACATCCCAATCGCCCACACGAATACTGGTGGCTACGGAGTCCCTGTCGGCAATTGAGGCACACCGCACCGGTCCATTGGCCGTGCGAGACCACGTTACCGAAGAAATTTGGATTATGCTACTTTTCTTGATGAAGCGAGGTCACTCTGTAGAATTTATGTTCTCCCCTTCGCGCTGCGGTATTCCACGGAATGAGGCCGCTGGCGAAGAAGCCGCGGTTGCAAGTTCCCTCCCCGCAATGGGGTATCCCAATCGGGCACGTGGACTTCCTTACCGCCGTCGAGAGGTTATGCTGGAAGGAAGTCTCGGAGGAAGAAGAAGGCGCACACACCACAATACAGGCGCTCGTCGGTATAGCGAAAACTCTATTAATTGTGTCCGGCCAAATGTTGTGCCACGACCCGCAGCTCTGCGCACAACTGCGATGCGACTCCTGCCCACTCTTCGGTAGAATGGCACACGCCCTGCAGATTACAGGCAGCCCTTTATGTCGGTAGCGCCTTCCCTCCCTCACCGAGGAGATCGACCCGCTCCTGCCTCCGGAACCTCCACCTGGTGTGTCGACGGCAACTCCTCGTAGAATGACGAGCAGCGGATCAACGTCGCCCTGCCCAAGCTGCAGCAGCGTCTTCTCGTCCGTCCACAATATGGAGGTACACGCCCGACGCACCAACCCTGGCACTCCAATAGTTGGAAAAGGCCTCGCATGCGGGTCCCGCGACAGCTCCACGGTCTCCCCAACAAGTGCTTCACGCGCAGGTCATTACCGAAAATGTCAAGCGTATCAACGAGCAAAAAACAAAAAGCGCAACTCTGCAAGCTCCAATGGCAACCATAGCCCTCCAGCCACTCCGCTACTGCAACCACCACCAGCCGCTGAGCCGCCTGACGGTCCACGGGAAACTCTATCGCAGATGCTGTGGAAAAGTCCTTGTCTTCGACAACCGAGTGTTGAACTATTTGAGGATACCCCTTCTCGTACGACATCACCCTTCGAAACGGAAAAAATAGCCACGTTTCTACGGACATTCCTCAGGCCATTAACGAACAGTGGCCGCAACGGATATATGAAAAAGTTCCCTTTTCTCAGTATAAAAAGACGTCATCGTTACAGTCACAATTTTCACACAATGAAATCATTGCGCAAGGACGCTCTGAGCCGCAATAATTCCTGGCATCATCCATTTCTCTCGTCGACACGTTGATGCGGATAGGTGCCCATCCATTCCTCCCGACGACGGTGTATGTCTGCGACGCACCCTCTGCTCCAAAAGGCACGTCCCTCACCACAGCCGGGATCGACTTTGCCCTGTCGGCACGCATCGCTTTGTCAGAGAAGCAGGAGTACGTCAGGCTGGAAGCAAAGCACCAGCCGGTACAACACACCGCATGCATAATCCCAAAAAGCACCAGCAGCGCTGGAGGCCGCGGGGTGACGTGAAACAACTGACGCACGGCATACGCACAAAAAAACCTAGTGGCCCGACAAGAATACAAGAGGGTGACACTTTTGAAACAATGAAACAATATGAGAATATAAGAAGGGAAGATTAAAGTGTCCGCTGTCACAGCATGCCGCAGTTCAAAAAGTAAAATGGGTGCACTTAACCACAACACAAGTAAAACAATGAAAAAAGAACAAAAAAAAAAAACAAAGCGTGGGACGACCAGCGCACACACTCTCATTGCTCCCGTAAAGCCCAACAGGGAGAGAGAGAGAGGTCGCCCACTCAATGCAATAAAAACAAAAACAAAACAGTTACGGTGCTCCGCCCATGCAGCCAGGCAGGACGGCAGCGGTGCGTGTCGTGCAAAAGAGAGCACCAACGGGCCTGCATGGGTGTGCATGCAATATATACAATGGGCACATTATGTGTGTGCTTCGTGGGATGAGGTGAGGGCGAGAGTCCATGCAAGGGGACACACACAGAGAGTGGGTGAAAGACGAGTGTGTGTGCGGGCGGTGCACGGCTCTCTCTCACTCACTCTCACGCGGCCACCACCACTGCAGTAGTAGCCGCAGCCGCAACAACAAGAGGAAGAAGCAAAAGAGGGGAGGTGGCGTGGGAGGCCGCGGTGCTGCCGTCACTGTCGCCTGTATTTGCGGTGGCATTTGTACGAAGGGCGTTTGTATCCTTCGCGGATTCTTCGCCATTTTCCGCGGGGTGTTCATGCTGTTGATGTTGTTGGACTTGTGCTTCATCACTTTGCTGCTGCTTTTCATGATCTTCTCCCTCTTCTTCTTTTTCTTCTTCTTCTTGTCGTGTGTGTTCAGCGCCGGATGTCGTTCCTGCCGGTCCTTCGGGTGGCGAGGAGTCGTTAGCCGCTGCTGCAGCAGACGACTGATCTCCTGTTGAAGAGTCCCCTGTTGTTTTAGTTGGATTACTGCCTGAGGACCCCGCTTCACCACCACTGCTGCTAGCTGAAGAATCAACAGCAGGAGCAGCAGGAGGAAGAGCACCAGGAGAAACAGCAGGAGGAGGACCAGGAGGAGAAGGAGGATGAACGGGAGCAGAACCAGAAGAATTGCCACCGCCTCCACCAGAAGGACCAGGAGGAGGAGCAGGGGCGGGAGGAATGCCACCGCTGCCTTGACCTCCAGCAGAAGTTCCACCGCCTCCACCAGCATCAGAATCTCCACCTGTATCAACAGCACCAGAAGAGGCACCAGAAGCCCCGGCAGCGCCAGCAGAAGCAGAAGGAGAAGCACCTTCTCCAGCCGAGGCTTCGACGGCAGTAATGGGCAGTACTGACCGCAAAGGCATCGTAATCACAGTTTTATTACATCCGTCAGGCATGTGGGATCCATTCTCACCCAACACTCCCGAGGTTATGCAAACACCCAGTGCGTTGGTGTCAACGTCCCTCGCATAAACACCGCCGGCAACGCACCACAGCACGCAGAGGGCACACACCAGCAGCACACGGCCAGTCATCATCATCGCCATCACTCCTGTCACTTGCGTGTAGCCTTCAGCACAAACTAACTCCCCGTCAACGCAAAAAGCAAAGGGAGAGACAAGTCACACAACCACGCACCGTCCCATCCAGCAATGAGAGTCACACACCACAACAACAATTGGGTGGGCGCGGCTCAACAACAATCAAAAAAAAAAAAAAAAGAGGAGCGCTCCTCGCCGTGCACCGTTCCTCACACTCCCACAGTCACCATTACTGTTATTCCCTCTCTCCTCAGTCCCTCACAGGCACGACACGCTCACTTCAACACGCGCACCTCCCAGCACACGCAGTCCGTCATGCGCTCCCGCTGCGCCGCAACATCCGCCACTTCCTCCCTCAGTCCAACAGCTCCTTTTCCTCCACGTCCCTCACAATCGCCGGCATGCCCCGGCCGTGCAACACACACAGCGCCACAACGTCGTGCCGCCTCTCCTCTCCAATCATGAGCGCTACGCCCAATGCGTGCTGACACACGTGCTCCATGCGCCGCAACCACATGCGGATCAGGTTGGCCGTCATGCACTGCATCTCGTTGTCCTCCTTGTACTTGAAGCAGACCCTCACATCCTCTCAATACACGGCCTGGAAACTGCGAGAGGCTGCCGAGAGGTGCCATTTTTGTGGAAGAACACAATGTGCGGAAACAACGGCCACCCTCACTCACTCAACTCTCCCACACACAAGGGCGGTGCCATGGCGAAGAGAAGCCCGCCGCACAGCACATGCACAAGGACACATGCAATAGCCGTGCCACCGACGTCGCACCGCAGGATAGAGCCATGCGGACAGCAAACACACGGCCTCAAAGAGAGGGACGGGGCACATCCAAGTGCATACCGCAGTCCTTCACTTCTCCCTTCACCGGCGGGTTGGCGTCCCACACCCACAAATGAGGCACGGCGCACACCACCCGCTCCCCTTCGAGTGCACTCAGCAGGTCGTCGCCCAGTCACCCTCCTGCCATCGCAAAGGGGAGCACAAACAATCGTCGTCGCGGAACATCGATGCCTCCAGCAGGAAAGAAGAGAAAGAAAAGGAACGAGGGCATGTCAACTGCACAGTCAGCAGAGGGACAACAAAAGAGACACGGAGACACACAGTGACAGCAGATACGGTAACTACAGAAACAAGCCGCAGGGATTTAAAAAAGAAAAAAAAAAGGGGTGGAGTCCGGGATAACTCCCAAAAGTAAAAGAAAAAAATAATGGAAAAATTGATGCGGCAGGACTTTTATTTCATGTGCCATGCAGCACGAGGCGACCGTGTTTTTATACATGTTGCCCGCACCAAGAAAAGAAAAAGGGAAATTAAAATAAATAAAAGAAATTGCACTGTTCCACCAGCCCACAAAACATCCTTCACATTTCATGCAGCAATCGGCCTGTTCTTCCAATTCGTGTTTCGTGCAGTCCGTGGAACGCGCAGCCGAAGGGCCGGCACCGCGTTTGGGCGACAAGAAAGCAAACAAGAGAGGGAAACACGTCGCTCATCACGGTGTGAATCAGCCGAACATTACGCAAAGAAAAAACAACAGTACTTACTACTCCAGCTGAACTGCATTAAAAAGACATTTAAAAGTAAAAACATTAAAGAAATAAAAGATAGGTGAAAAAGGGTGGGCAATGCGGCATGTATTCTCCGTGAGGCGTCGCAAATCCACACTCCGTGGCTCAGAAAACTGTCACCACCCAAATACAATCCCAGTAGAAGCAGCAACACACAAGACACGCACACACGCACGGTGTTGTTACCGCTTAAATCACGCAGTGTCAATTTCACGTCGTTGGGAGAGGCGAGGTGGTCGTCGGGACTCACGCCACTCCACACCCTGCGAGGTGACTTTTTGTAGTGGGGATTCGTGTCCAGGGGCGTTGTGCCCATTCATTTCTCTTCCGTAATATCCCCAGCAATTTGCTCTCTGAGGCTGTCAACTACTCGAATCTTCTCGGGTGGTGTCGGAGCCGCTTCCCTCGTCGGAACGGGGTCTCTGTCCTTGAGTGCACGCATCGCAGTGGAGTTCAGTGGGCGGCTGTACAGAAAAACGTTCGTCACCGTCACATGAGATTAGTGCCCACAGCACGCCCCAAAGCAAAACCATAGGACCTCAGGTGGCTTCTGACCTGTTAACAGCACTTCTTCCTATTCCGCCCCCAGCAACTGACCATCAATGTGCACAGAGGCCTTCTTGCCTTGCAGCATGAGTGCCACTTGGTATTCTTCCTTCTTCGGCTCCCAAGTGCTGCTCCGTGTTGTTGTCGTGCCTTCGAACGCCGTCTCCCACTTCTTATTGTGGCTGCACGACAGTCCCATGGTATGATTGGACGCAGTGTTCGCCAACACCGCAGTCAGTGGAGGAGTGTTCCCACTCGGAGCCTCTTCGATGGTCACCGACACCACAAGTGTGAAGTGGTCGCTCAAGAATACATGACGCACATTATTAACCCGAGTGTTCACAGGCCATATTGCCCTGGACTCAATTCCCGTGAATCGGAGCCCATCGTTGTTCTTCACTGCATTCGTCACCGTCGCATGCAGGCAAAGGTACTCGTCGTTCCACCTGTCATCACTGGCCGCATCGGACAAAACTGCCACAAGACCCGCCGTGGGTGTAGACAAGCTGGAGAAGAAAACGTCCTTTTGCATCCAAGTGCTGAAGACGGACTTGATTGTACTCAGTTCCTCCGTCAGGCGGGAAAGTAAAATGACACGGCCCTCACCGTTGCCCTCCGTTGTAAAAGATGCAAACTGCCATCCGAGTGCAGCAGGGTGCTGGCGAGCTCCCAATTCACAGCATTGTCCGTGACAACCGGTCCAACGTAAAACGAGCGGTTGCTGTCCGTGACCCAAACGTAAAGCGGATTGGCCTTATTCTCCACCGAGGCGTACCCTCTCTGAGTGTACAGCATGACCTTCCCTTTCCTCAATGGTCGCGGTGATGAGGGCATCCACATGCAGGCTTTCCTTCTGATAGTCTCCCGATCCTGAGTTGACCCACACGCCTAAAAGCTTCCCGATAGCCTCCGTCCACGCTGTCCCCATGTCACGCGACTCGTACACCCTCTGGCCATTCTCACTGTCAACAATCATGAGAAGTGAACCCTCCCACTCGGTGACGCGGGGGTTAAGGCATTCCGCAGGGGACATGCCCTCAGAGAGCGCCCAGGCACTGCCGTTGTCCGTCGAGTAAATGGTCATGGAGCAAACGTATTCTGCCTCATTCTTCGCCATCAGAGGAAACAGGAAGGTGCCATCCTCCATCACAACACCTGAGCCACCAGAAGCAATGAGCTCCGTCCGTTCGCCTTCGTGAGAAGCAGAAGAGATCAGTTTCAAGAGTGTTTGGGGTCGCCCCATTCGATCCGTTCACTCTGCTTGCCACCCGTGGGATTCGTGACATCACCCACAACCAGTTCCAGCTCCAAGCCGCCCTCTCTCCAGCACCCACCTTCATAGGACACATCAGAGCCTCCCGCAAGAGGAAACACTCCGTGGCCCTTCGTGATCGTTGTGGAGTGGTGCACAACACCCAAACTCTCCTCTCCCTCCGCTGCTCCAAGCACAGTGTGTGAGCTCCATGTATCTTTTATTGACCCCACCAACAAGAGTGGAACAATTCCACGCAGGGTCAATGTGCCCCGCAACAACATCAGAAGAAAAGGGCTTAGTTAGTTGACCACATTGATATCCGGCATCCAAATGTGACCTTCGGCAAAAGCAGCAATTACTCCACCAGCTCTGACGAGAAAGGGTAAAACAAATGAATCCCTTGACGTGCCTGGAACAACCTCATCCCTCAGCTGCAACACCTTCTTCCGTGAAAAAAATGGATCGACCCTCTCCGGCTCCTGAACGCTTCTTAAATCATTCTTGCCATCATTATCCTTTGCAGGCGTGGCTCCACAAGTACCGCAGCACATCAACACAACAAGGAAGAGCAGCACCGCGAAAGCAAACACACGCCGCGACATGTTGGGCCTCGGCGGCTCACTCTCTCCTCCTTCCATCCTCCTTCCGCTGGATCCGGTCACGCGGCGACGGTTGTGTGTGCGGGGCGCCATGACAGCAGCAACACGTGAGAGCATATAAATATGTGTGTGTGTGGGCGGTGTGTGTGCTGTTGTTGGTCCCCTCAGAGCCTTCGAATTTCACAGTATCGATTCGCATTTGTTTTCCTTCTTCGTGTGTGTTTGCGCGCAAGAAATCAAATTAAACTTTAAAAAGCACCAAAACAGAGCGTGGCAGGGGAGTGGGTGGCGCCGCCATCCACAGTGTAACACACCAGCGTCGTCGTAACCGCGACAGTAATTAATCTCCCCGTCCACAACGGCTCAAGCACTGTGAGGCCGCACACAGAATCAGAGACACTGACGTTTGCGCACGGGCCAATACACCCTCCGGCAAGCAGCACCAACCAACAGACAGACAGCAGAAAGTAAGTGCAAGAAAAATACCAAGTGCTGCGGGATCCTTGCAAGCAGCGCTCCCTCACTGCAAGGCCTTTAAAGCGTTCCTCGCTGCAACATCCCCACCACTCCTTCGGCGTGTCGGTGGATTTTCCCGTTCACCGGAACAAAAACAGCGGGATGCTTCGGCAGGGCTCGAAGACACACAGAGCGCACCGTCGACGCGATCAACGGGCGCAGGCTCTCGTGAAGTGAGATCCCACAACCGTGATCCCTCCATTGACTCTCCTGGACGTGGAGGAGGCATGAAATGTCCTCCTCTCTACAGTAGTCCCGAAACGCAAAAAATCCGCAGGACATCCCGCGCAGCCGCGGCCTCCTCAGCAGCCCGACAGTCCACGCCGCCGCACCGCTCCTCAAGAGGTCGCCAGGCCCGGTAAGGCAAGCAAAAGGGGACCAGCAATTCGTTCAGGGCGTTCAGCAAAATGGGGTGCAGCAGTCGGGTGAGTGCGGCCCATCCACGTCCTCCCCCTCAACCGACCCACCACACAGTCGGATCACGCACCCAAAAAGAGCAGTGGCGC